GGATGTTAAAGTAATTAATTATTTGTATGGTATTTTACAATTTGCATTTCAAATAAATCTTTCAATTTTTATGACTTAGTGTGTTTCTTGTGGTTGTAAATTTGTTCAAATTTGTGTTGACATTAAGTAACCATTCATACAAACAGTACTTCAATAATTTATTTAACAAAAATAAAATGTGCACATTTTACCTGAAATACATCTGAAATAGGCTAGTAATCGACAAAGCCTGTACAATCTATTGACCTCTAATATCTTCTTTCAGTTACTAAGGTTAACCTTTATGGAGTTTCAGTATAATATGCCATCCTTATATAAAACATACACAAGGAGTACAGTTGTTCAAAGAGGGCACCACTTGTAAGGTATTAGAGGATAGCGCTGCACTGATGCATTGATATGATAATGCCTTTATAAAGAGTCACCTCCAATCATCAATCCCAATTCAGGTCGTCATGGATTCCTCTACAGGCCAAAAACTCGAAGTGATTTCCTCCTCCAATATGGAGCTGGACTTTTGAAAGGAACAGCACATGTGAGTGTGAATGTTTTAATGCTCTATGACTCTGGAAAGCTGTGTCAGTTTCTTCTGATTATCAATGACGTTAAGGTTTTGGATGTAGTGTCTTATGCTGGTGACACTACGTAAAGTCAGCGACTGCTCAGAATCTGAATGAGGGCAAAGACATAAAAGAAAAAGGATTAAACAAACATGAAACATTGATGTATGCTAATATGGTCTGCATTGTAACATCACAGGATTTTACTGTAAATTAGCTTACAAGTAGATACTCGTATAGCAGGAGACTCCAAGAACATTCTTTCTGTGAAGCCCTTCTGGGGGGATGAAGGCACTGTACAAATGTGACAAAGTAGTTTCTTATACATGTTGAGTATTTCTTATACATGTAAACAGCTACATGATTTTTGTGCTCTGCAGTATCCCAGAAGATTAATATTACCATAAGGTTGGCTTCTACAATCCCGTACTATCTTCACTGTCTTGGCGATCATCCGCTGTGGATTTGAGGCAGAAATATGAAAGTATTTGGAAACAATAAATGCAATAAATGTATAAATTACTTGAAAATCCTGAGAAATCCCAGAAAGGTCTGGGGTCTCACCATTTTCTCAAAGTTAACCAGATTATCTGTGTAATTCCTGTTGCCCTCATGGATAAACGTCATGTCTGGAAAAAGATGAATACAGTTGGATACAATTACAATGGTGTAATTCAGAGGTGTCAAATTCATTATAGGTAATGGGCTACATTTAATTTAGACTTATGCCAAGTGGGCCAGAAATATGTTCCACATATTTCCAATAGTTTGTGGACGCCTGACCATAACACTCCTATGTGCTTTTTGACCATCTTATTCCAGATTTAGTCCCCCTTTGATGTTATAATAACCTGCACACTCTTCTGGGAAAGCTTTCCACTAGATTTTGGAATGTGGCTGTGGGGATTTGTTCCCATTCAACCACAAGAGCCTTAGTGAGGTCACGCACTGATGTGAGGCGAGAGGCCCTGGGGTGCAGCTGGCGTTTCAGTTCATCACAAAAATGTTCAATGGGGTTGAAGTCAGGGCTCTGTGCAGGCCACTCGAGTTGGGCCCCTGCTTGGGCCCCTTAGTTCTAGTGAAGGGAAATCTTAAGGGTATAACATACAAAGACATCCTTTAAAATTGCGTGCTTTCAACTTTGTGGCAACAGTTTGGGGAAGGCCCATGTATGGATATGATGGTCAGGTGTCCAGAAACCTTTGGCCAGTAGATGTGTTTATGAATTTATTGTTACATTTGGCCCCTTAGTCAAATAACAGAGACTAGCTCTATATTTTAATCTTTCAAGTCAATTATGGTCCACAAGACTATTTCATGTAGAAAACGGATTCTAAATCACTTGGTGAGCCAGAGTAGAACCTTTATCCAGTTGGTCCTTGTCTGTAGGCTGTATGTTTGATACGCTTGGTGTAATTACTCTTTCATTAGCAATTAAATTATTGGCTGTTACAGGTGGCCAGTACCTTTCAGTAGCAGAGGCATGAAGGGAATGTATGGTGGGTTGAGTTTGGCCACAGCTAGTCTGTACGCTCGGTGATTGTGGGATGGATCCTGCGCACAGGAACAGCAGGAGTCAGAAAGAAGCATGCAGCTTTCTACTGAGTATGATTCCTTCATACAGCATCCCAGTGCTAAACTTACCAGTAATCTCTCATAAGCACAGTAGATCCTTTTGGTTTTGCTTGGCAATCTCTGTTAAAAAACAAGAATTAGACTGTACTTCATCAGAACATCTGGATCATCTGAATTTCACATAAACATTTTAATCACACTCATGTGGGGGAATGACTTGCATTATAATGAATTTCATGTACCTACCAATTTCAAGGAATAAAACATAACGTAGTATGCTGTCATAGGAAAATAATCAACAAGGTGGTGTGATGATGCTAAGCAGAGTTTACTGTTACCATGCCAAAGTTGATTATTTTCCAATAATTGCATAGCTCAAAGTGTTTTTCCCCTCTTATACCACAGCAAGTTGCCAACAGTTAGAACTTTTAATTTATTAATGAAAAACACATTGCATTTTAACAGTTTGTAATTACATTTACTGTTGTGGAAAGATCCATGAGACAGGAAGTTATCCTGTTATCACTTAAATGTATAAACTGTTATCCCAAAGCAGCTTGTAATGTTCTTACTATAGAAATGATAACATTAGAACAGGTGCATAAAAACCTGTGATTTGAATTACAGTCTGCACCTCTGTCAGAGCCGCTGTTATTAAAATTCACTCAATTTCAACAGTGCTGTGGTATAATTACTGTAAACAATATGTATCTTTTAGTGTATGTCTAGGAGCTGAATAATCTTGCCATGTTTTTGTAAAAGCAAACATAATTATAAGCTTTATTTGCCTTTCACCATTTTTACCTTGTTTCATGGCAAACAAGGTAAAAATGGTAAGGTGGAGTCCAACGGGTATGGACTAGTTACACACACTCACCTCCCATGTTTTATAGAGCCTCTGCACTGCACTGTTACTCAGGCCAAACATCACTGCAAAGAAAGAGTTCAGGTTTTTCTGCTCCTTCAACCTAGGGAAAAAGTCACATGGCTTTTCACGTGCACAAATAACATGCCTCCAGCCTTGGCACTCTAATGATTATTATTAGTATTCATATTCAAAGTATACTATTCAGTAACTGTCATGAATTATGAATGAACTATTATGAATATATTTATTAATTACTGTGAAAATAATAGTAAAATGTTACAAGACTGAGAATGCAAGCCTTTATCAGTACGATGGGTCCTGGGACTTTAATATGAGTCCAAGTTGGAGAATGTTCTTTGAGATTTTCATTCAGAATGATGGCCAACTTATGATTTGTCATTGCACACATACATCATATCAAAAGTAGTGTGGAAAACATTCTAATGAGTGTAAATTACTTCTGGGGCAGTTCAAACTAACACTGCTGTAGGGTTTAGTGTTTGAAAGTGTTTCAGAATATCATATAATTGTACTTAGTGTAATAGTGAGGAATAAAACACAATGAAGCATGCTGTTATAGGAAAATAATCAACAATGTAATGCTACCCCCAATAATTAATATAAACCTGTGATTTGAATTATAGCCGACACTACTGTTATGATTACCATAATCCTTCATCACCAGATAGTGATGCTTACAGATTTGCTCTAAACACAAAGTTGTGTTGCAGTAACACTCACACAATTGCTATTTTAATGAACTTCTTGAGCAACATGGATCTTTTCATTAGGTCCTCACACAAGCAGAGTTCAGTCACCACCCAGTACTGCACTTCATTGAAATGTCGCACAAATCGCTCCAGATTAGCTGTGGTGGCTCCTGGGAACTTGTGCCGCCCAAAAACATAGTAGACAAGCTCTGCCTATAGCACAACAGTGACAAGAAATTAGTTTATATAATTAAAATTCATATAGACATAAATGATATACCAGAAAAAAGACAAGAGTTTCTTTTGAATGTCACACCTTTAGAAGAGCAACAAACTTGTTTCTTTGTCCTTCTGTGTTGCTGAAAGAGAAATTGCCTAAGCCTATTGCCTATAGCCTAAGACTTTTGCACCCATCAGATAAGGCTGGCTTGTTTTTCCATGAATGATTAAATCATAGTCACAGCAATGAGAACCACATGAATAAGTTAGACAGCCACACAGAAACGTTTTTCTGTATTGTTCTCTCTGATTCAGAAAGCTTGTGTCTTTAGACAGATACACTGTCCACCTTTTTGCTATGGCTTCTTCTTTCATCAAGTTAATAAGAGTCAAGCTGACCCTGTGATACAGAAGTGTTTATGAGTGCTCATGATTCAGGTAACATGGCAAGATACAGTGAATGCTTTACTTCATGCATGGCCATGAAGAGTTCCCAGTCATAGTTGGTGAGGTGGCTGGCAATGTCCTTAGAGCACATCTGCTCCAGGAAGTCAACAGTGCTCTGCTCTGGACCAAGCTGCTCTTTCAGAGGGGTCTGTCAAAACACAAGTATGACAGAGAACTTTTCTTAATATGGTGCTTCAGTGCAAGAACTATTAGAACATTAATTTCCAATGACATGGCCCAGACCACCAAACAAACAAAATTTAATACACCTACATTGGCTAATGCTTATTCAGTTGAAGTTAAGTCCACAGTAGAAATATTTAATTTAAGCATGTTCCTAAATACTGAACTCTGGTCACCAAGTGTAAATTTTTTATTCAGTCCCACTTTGAAATTTTGCCAGTTAACAGCCGCAAACATGTTGATTAATGTGTTGATTCATACTGGCCATTGTGGGCTTAATTTGACTTATCTGATTTATTGATGTTATGCAAGTCAGGTGTTTATTATGTGGCTTTTTAAAAATAATAATAAACCACAAGTTAATAGTTATGATGTTAGTTATTGATGGCGTACTAATACTGAATTACATGTTTTGTTCATGTTAACTAATTGGTTATGTCCCTGGTGGTCTAGTGGCTAAGGAATCCCGCACTCTCACTGCTGTGGCCCGGATTCGATTCCCGAGCAAGGAACCAACCCAGCTACTGGGAGCGTACTCTCAGTCCCGGTCCCAAGCCCGGATAAAATGGGAGGGTTGCGTCAGGAACGGCATCTGACATAAAACCTGTAGCAAATCAAACATACGGACCAATGATCCGCTGCGGCGACCCCTAACGGGAGCAGCTGAACGAACAACAACAACAACAAATGAATTATGTCAGTTACGGGAACATTAATGTAAAGCATTGTAAAAATATCTGTAGCAGCAGTCATCTTGGCTGGAGTCAGTAGTTTTTCTTGCATAAGTGCACACTTAATTGTTTCATAGATGAGAGGCACTCACCAGTTGCTCCACCTGAGACGCAGTGCACAAGAAGAGCCTCTCGTTCAGCCCCAGAGATGTGAAAACAGCTGTAGCATCCAGCTTGAGCGGAACTCTCTCTAAGCAACATGCAGCCAAGCAAGTTTATACATTTCATGGGGAAAACCCTTCAGCTCATCATCACATCTTATATTACACTTACTTACGTATTGCATGGGATAAAACAAGTTCAAGATCTTAATTAAATATTTCTGTAATCTTCACTGCACTCTAATTCTATAATTTTTATTGCTCCGTTGTTCATTTGTATACCAATGTTTGGTCCAGAAATCTTGCAGTACAGTCTCATCTCATACCTCCTGAAGAGTTCATTTTGACCACCACATGGTCTTCACCTGGGTCCACCAAAACATCCATAATGTCCTGGACTGAGCAGTTCACAGGCAACATCAGCGTCAGAACATTGTGATCGGGTTTGAAAATCTCATACAAGACTGCAAACATGTTAAACAGATCAATTACTGAGATATCCCAATAATTATAGAATTTTATATAATGTTTACTATTTTATACTATTACTATTTTGGTGTTCTGACAAATTACATATGCAAAAATGTACTACAGAGATTAATAAAAGAAACCATGACAAAATGATGCAATAATCATTAAGAAAATGCAGAGAAGTTTGACCTTTGTCTTGAGCTCTGATTGTATGGCACTTCCCAAAAGGCTCCTCATAAGTGGCAAACCAATCAAATTTTTGATTCAACTGAAAAAATTTTGGAAAATCAAAGTAAAAAAAAAAAAAAATTAACCACCTGTAACAATTAAATTCTCTAATGAGTATATTCATATTTTTATCCCTAAAGACATTTGACACTATGAATTATCACATTTTTTCTTTCTGCTGTTTGTGATTACAGTATAACCTCAAGTAAGGTAGGTTGCAAGAGTTTCAGAAGTGAGTGTATAGGGTATTATGTAGCTGCTGTCCTGCTGTCCTGCTGGAATGTGAGGAGTAAGAACTAGAACTTAGAGTTAGGAACAGGTTGGCCACAAGAGGCATGCCCAAAATATTTAACAGGACCTCCTCCACGCCTTTAAGCATATCTAAAGTATATTTAAGTTTGAGTTTCCACTGAGTAAGTGGGAAGGTCGATGTTTATAAATATAAATGATAATTACAGAACTGTGGCATAAATTATTAACCTGAACTATTTTGCAAGAGTGAATTTGTTAAATTTCATAATAGCCATTACTTTTCCTGACAATCAAACAGTAAAATAATAAATTACACTTGCCAGTCATGTATTAAATACAACATGGTGTGACTGTTATTCATTCCCTTTTCCATCAACAGTTTATGAGACCAAGCACACTGTAATCTACCATGAAATCTCTGTAGATAGTGACAGACACCTTAAATGACAAATGATAGGGATGCTAATGACATAGGGTGGGAAAAACTTTTCACCTTAGTTAATTCAGCATTCACATCAGCCTAAAACGTAATATCTCCCATAACTTCAAATGTGAAACAATTTATTAAATAGAACCATTTTTACATACATAATACAACAGAGTATTATATTAAATATAAATAATATTAAAATGTAATTTAACTTAACACTATCCAAGGTATGTAAAGAAATGACCTGTAGCATTTGGTTAGTAGGTAGGTTTTACATACCCAACCAATCATGGCAGCCTGTATGAAATCGGGTATTCCCATAATATTCACTGAAAGTTGGAAAACACATTTGTGTATGGAATACCATTCTCCTGTGTTACCTCTGAAACGTTGCTACCCTTTTTACCCTATTTTATACTAGTATTCATTATTCTTTATTAATAGTTTATAATCTTAATTCTTATATTTGGCTATATATATATATATATATATATATATATATATATATATATATATATATATATATATATATATATATATATATATAT